AAAAGGGGGTTATATCTTGGATGATGGTTAATAATACTAACGTGCTAAGAAATTTACGATAACGCAAATAAAGAAATCGGCGGGGAGACCGTGTTAACATCCTAACATGCTTTGAGGCTCAAAACACAGAGGACGAGATGGACAGACGGTTAACAAGAAAAGGCAGCAGTTTGGATCTTTACCTCAAGAACTTCCAAATTAGGACACTTCTGGATTAACGTACAATGATCCTCGGTGTCCAACAGGGCATAGAGCAGATCCAACTTCCGGATTTGGGCAGCAAATGGAAATATTATCGGCATTTCATTTGTTCCCATGTAGGAGAGGCCCAAACGGCATAGTTTTCGGGGGAAAGACAAAGTCAGGTACTTGTCAGGTCTGTCAGGATCCTCATTGAAGGAGCCACCACAGAATTCTTCAAGATTAATAGCAGCCTTAAAAACCCCAACAAGGTCCAGGATCTCGCAGTCTCCAAGCTTCAGAGAAACAAGAGAGCGGCAGTTTCTAGCTATTGTTTCCAGGTCTTTCGGGTTGATTTTTGCGAGCTCCGTCATGTAAAAGTTTAAAACCTCGAGAGATGTGTTGTGCAGGGCAAGCTCATGAAGCCATTCACCATCCTTTTCAATGAAAAAGCTTTCTTCCATGAGCAATGTCTTAATCTTCCTGTGGAAAATTAAAAAGTAAACAAAAGCACAAAGAAGGTCAGAAGCCACTCAAGAAATTTGGGTGTCAGCTAATATATAGACGTTACTTAAACACATTATGAATATCGCTTAATCGGGCATAGCAGGCAAAGATACACCCAATCAAATTGGTTAATGATGAAACTTACAGATACGGATCTGATACAACTGCAGGAACCATATTAAGGGGCACATATCGACAATATACCAACAAGATCCAAAGACATAAATGAGCAGCAAAAACAACTGTTAATTCTGCCGAGGTTTCTCTCTATTAATGTTCCAGAATATCAATGAGCTGAAGACAGCAGAATAAAAAGACCTCAGTCCCTGGCACACTCTTTAACATGAAGTTCTTTTGTACACAAGACCAGACTATCAAAAGGACTCTGGCAAACTCTTCTAGTCACACCATATATATTACATCTCCAACACTCTTCAAACAGTTCGCACACCAACAGGATCTTGTCTTTGCTTGAAAATTCCCAGAATCATAAATATGTTCTTTCACAATGGACATTGAAGCACTTGGACAAATAAGATAACTAGGGCAGGGAACGTTATCAGCTACTAGCCTACTTGGAGGTCTCATCTCACTTGTTTTTTTTTTCTTAATTGCAAACTCACAAATCATTTACACAAGCTCAGTTTGCAAGAAAAAAAGAGACAAGCATCGGCTGTAGTGATGCAAGCCTGAGCTAGATTCCTTCACTTCTGACCAGCTACTTTGAGAGACAAAATCTTTGTCGACGGATCAAAAATCCGGGAAAGATGCCATTTTGGTATTAATATAGATCAACTCATCAATGGTATACAAAAGGGCAATAACATGGATCAACCATCATATTAGCAAGTATCATAGCTTCCGCAGGTAGATAATCTCTAGTCCTTGATCAACACTTTTGACGTCAGAGAGTCGGAAATTAAGTGATAAAGGCCAAAAGTTTCATCTCAGAAAGACCATAGGAATCCAATTCTTGATGGAAATGGATTGAACGCAACAAGGGGTAAATGGAAAACCTGCAGTGTCGAGCGAGGCTTAAAAGTCCATCAGTAGAGAACCCAGAACACTTGTCGAGCTTCAAAGCCTCGAGCTCATCTTTCCTCGCCTTCGCCAGAAGATCAAGATCCAAGTCGCTGACAATCATACGACGGAAGTGAACCGATTTGAGCTGCCGAAAAGAGGCCGCGATCTCGTTCACCCAAGGGGTAACATACCCTCCCCAGTTCTCCGGGATCAGGTTAAACATGGCGGCCCTTGGCTTGCCCTTCAGCTTCAGTGACCTCAGGTTTGGGAAGCGGCGGCTCAGGCGGTCGGGCTTCGCCGTGTAGCAGAGAGCCATCGTCACGTGCTCCCTCGTGTCGGCGTCGACCTTGAACCACCTCCGGCACACCAGCGATGCAGAATCACGGTCCTTCGGATCGGTTATGTACGGCATCACTTGCTCGATGACGTCATCTATCGTCACGCTGCTCAACCTACACCTCTTGTTATCGGAATCCTCCATCGCCAACACCACCAAACGGATAAAAAAGGCAACAAAATCCCGAGAGAATCTCTCACCCCGTAGATTCCGGTCACATTCCGATCGATTTCAGCACCCAGATCGTTCAGTCATAGGGGAAAACAACTGATTCCGAGCAACTCGACAGGGAAAATAATAAAAACACAAAAAAAACCCGAGATCCAAACGAAAACCTGACACTGAAAAAGGAGATAATAGAAAGAAAAACAGGAAAAGTTCAACTCGGAGACTCCGAAAAAGATTTCAATTTGACGAAAAAATGGAGAGAGGGAAGAACTCCGGCGAGATCTGAAGCGAACGGCGACGGCGAAATGGAGCAGAGGACACGGAGCAAGTAGAGACGGATTGAGACGAACAAACTGCGAAGGAATCAAATATCGTTTTATTATTTATTTATTTATGGTTTTAATATATAATATTAATGTGTACATACACACATATATATATATATATATATTCAAGTGGAAGCCATATTTCCTTTATTCTATGGATAAAATATTTAGCATTATATAAAGGGGGTAGCGTGAGATGGACGGCAGATATTCGGTTGTGTAAAAGCATCCGACGGTCAGGAAGAGGTGTACGGATAACGACAAAATAAATAGAGTAGCCATTAATTTGTCAGTAACTCGAATGAAGAAATTCCGAAATTTATAATTAAAGTTTTCCTCGTCCATTTTTCTCGGGTCAACTGATACATTTTTTTTTTTGGTTTTTCATATCTCCGTGAGCCTTTATAAAAATAAATAATAATATAATATAATATATTACAATAACCATAAAATTTTGTTTTATTAGTTGTTAAATTTGAAGGAGATTTGCTAAAAAAAGAAAGATCGATGATTACAAAGCGTGGTCTATGTAAACGTGGTTAGTCATGGTTTGTTATCTACTTGTTCTCCTACGGTAAGTTGTTAATTGTCTAATTGCATATTAACGATTTTTATTTTTATTATTAATTAAACTTTTAATATAAATTATAGTTTTTATTTATTATATTTTATAAAAGTTTTATACAATAAAATTTTCGTAACTGAAGTCTAAAATTATAAAGATTTTTTGTATATTTGCAAATGATAGCACTATAAAATCAGATAGATTAATTTTTTTATTTTTGAAAACTCTCTCCGCTTATGATTGAGTCAAATACGGTTATACACCAATATCGGGATCATCAACTATATATTAAACCAATAAAAATATAAAATTCCACTAAAAATGTGATATGGAATTGGTTTACTAAAACATCATTGATAGATGAATATTGTTATGTACGTGTGTGCATGTGAATTGCATGGTGGATATACTTCACTGGTTACTGTACAGATTCTGTCGATTTTTATTTTCTATTATTATTTTTCTATTTGTTGGACCAATCTCTCTCTATCTGCCAAATTCGTGTGTTGAGTTCGATGTTCTGTCGTCCGTTAGATTGTCTTTTATTTATTTATCCATTTTGTTTTGGAGATATGAAGAAGGGAGACAATTAGACGTTATCTCCAAACGGTTGATAGAAATCCAACTTTGATATATCTATTGCTTTTTCGACAGCTATTTTTCCTTTTTTTCTTTCGTTTTCTTTCATTTGCATTTGTTTGTTTTTAATGTTTATATATATATATATATATATATATATTACACTACCATGTCAACCATTTTTGTACGACAATAATATATTTTTTTATTGTTATGTAGAGCCAACCTTGCTTCCGGGGTGCATTGATAAAATAAAAGGAAATGATGGTCAAAATCTCTATTAATCTAACCATATTATATACATGATTTGTTAAAAAATCTAATAATATCGGGGAATACAAAATTGTATATACAACACATCAAAGATTTAGAATATATTGATGATTTGGTCGATTGTCTATAAATGAAGAGAATATATCGATGAAGAGAAGAAAGAAAAAGAAAATAAATAGATCAATATGTAATTTGTCAAACATTATATGATATGTAGATAACTTGATAAACTTTAAAAAAATAGACAAGTTGATATACATATATATATATATATATATATAATATGAAAATTGAGGTCATCGAATCGAATAGAATATATACCATAGGGGCAATAATTATGAAATATAACACTCACAAAAAAGACGTTAATCCATGTACGTGTTACAAGCAAAAGTCAAAGCAAATCTATTTTTGCTATATTCGATATCAAACCGGCTCTTGTTATTATATTACTAGTAATTTAGTAAGACCGGTTTGAATTCTGTAAATAAAAAAAAAAACATATGTCAAATTTCCACTATGATCACATAAGAATACTTATTTGATCTGTTACATACTCAATGTTATAATATAAAAATTATCGTAAACGAATATTTGTTAAGATGGTCGTGCACATAAAACATATATTGTGATAAAAACATTTGCATGATAGTTCTATAAATCTTTTATATACTTTATAATGCATATTTTAAAATTGAATTCATCCATAGGATTGCAAGGAGGTCAAATTTGATCGCCCACAGAAAGCATATCAACAATATCGTCAGATTATTTCAGCATTCATATATATATATATATATATATATATATATATAGAAAATCAACGTCACGAGAACATGCATTTGGAATTCCAATCACTCTGAAGCAATATACAGAGAAGTAAATCTTGTACAATCAAATAATTTTATATTTTAATACCCAGAGTTTAGATTTCAATATTCATAATTTAATTTTATAATTTAATGTCTTGAGAATTGGTTTAAAAAACACCTTTTTTCAAATGTGTTTTAAACCCTAAACTAACCGTACTGAATACTAAAAAAACATTAAAAGCATGTTGCCGAGAACTACTAACAACAAACTAGGAGCATGCAAGTTATGGATCACATCACATCACTCTATAATTTGATAATTCTATAAATCTACAATTTGATAACGATATAACAAGGTCCAAAATAAAAGTAATATCAAATAACTTTTTATCATCCTAAGATAAGGCCAAGATATTTTATAGCGTCGGTAAATTAAAGAAGTTGCATAGCATTATTAATATGAGAAAAAGTGTTAATCTTAAGCCTTAAGGTAGTTGACACTCTGTATTTATCATCATTGTAATTTTCTTCCTTCACATTTATTATGTTTAATTAAACAATGTGGTCCAAAATATTAAATTATTATACATGTTCATTTTCGTATACAATTTTTTAATATATTAGATATTATTAATTATTAATTTCCCAGGTTAAGATTATTCCACGCCAGAAACTTTATGGCCATGGCATTTTATCGTCGACCACTCTGTCATTCATTCGTTTTACTTTTTTTTTTTTTTTTTTGTACAAATGGAATCTTAAAGTATTCCTAATGTTTGTTTGAACACACCAAACTGTTTCATATATTATAATTTTAAAGCTATATAGTAAGAAAAAAGAAACTCTAGCCATACATAGTTTATTGACTCAACAAGCCATTGTCCCTTTTCTTCTCTTTTTTGTTTTCTTATGAATTCAGATAATCTATAATTAAATCGCCATTCGTAATAATGAAAATTGAACATTGTTATTATTATGATGATGATGATAACAAAGATGATGTAAGTTTTAGGTTCTACAGGACACTGCCTTGACTTTTTTGGTTTTCCATCAATACAAAAAAATAAAACGTTGACAAAAAGAGTTGGTTTAATTAGTTCATAATATATATATATATATATATATATATATATATATATATATATATATATTGTACAAACATATTTAAGAATATGGGTCCATTAGAGCCCATTATCGAGTAACCTAAAAAGCCCTATAGTGTTTTTTTTTTCTCATCTTCTACAAGCGGCCTTTAATGAAATGTATAATGGACAAATTTATAACAACGAAAGTTAGGAATCAAAACCTATATTTTTGACACATAATATCAAACTCCGAGCAAACCATAAAATATAAATGTAGTATGTACAGGGATAAAGTATAAATATAAATGTATAAGGCATAGGAAAAAGAAAATTAAATGGAGCATCACAAGGAGTTTTGGTGTATGAATAGAGAGATGGGTTAAGAGGTTGTGTGTGATGGTCCATACCATAACCATACATATGATAGATTAGTGTGTCAGTGTCATTCACAATTAATTGGACTTGTTTTATGTGGCGGTACACTTCTATCTAATGCGGCCCACACTATTTTTGTAGTATCCTGAACTCAACAACAACACAGGCATAGTGTACTTGGTGTGTGTGAATATATATATATATATATATATATACCATTAATAGGGGATCCATATATCCACAATGCAAGCGAAAGCACAAATACGTATCCCATATTCCAATCACATAAATTTACAGGAGAGAAAACAACACAGCCTTTTTTTTTTTCTAAAGCAAAAGTGAAGCGGACTTGACACACACGTCACACGTATATGCTGTGGACAAGCCTTCATATGACCCCTCCCTCCCACATTTGCCATCTTACAAAGACTCTCCTCCGTTGCTTGGTCCCCCCCCCCCACCCAATAAACCCACTGATTCATTTGCTACTTCACCAAAAACAAAAACAAATAAACTAAAAAATAACCAACAGAAGCAAATTACAAAGCTGTAACCAAAACCAACAAATATAAAACCCGATAGAGATAGTTGAGTCTCACCACCCCATATTACCCGCCAAAAAAAAAAAAAAGAAAAGAAAAACCACGGTCCCCTTTTTATACATTTGGATTTTCAACCTTGGCATCTACAAGACGACACGCAACCAAAAAAAAAAAAAAAAAAAAAACCAACAGCAGCAATATGACCATATACTAAAACTAATCAGAACTTCCTTTCAGGAGGGGTTGCTTCGCCATCATCATCACCATCACCACCCCCGACGTCGGGTTTATCCTCGGGGCCAATGTTGCTGCTGCGACTAGTGGCCACCGCAGGCTGCAGCCCGTGAGGTGTGAAGAGGCCAATGCTTGAGACCCTCAAGCCGCTGCCCACATCGTGTGTCCCACTGTACAGACCTCTGCTACCGGCCACAAGTAAGCCTGGTTGCCTATCCTCCGATTTGGCGAAGACGTTGATCAAAGGGGCACCGGCGGTTGCGGTGTTGGAGCCGCTGATGAGCAAACGCAGAGTTTCCCTTGCGCCTTTCTCCAGCAGAGACTCCTTCTGCGGGTTTACAAGGTGGTTTGGGTGAAGGGGCGGGATGCTGGTGGGCATCCCAGGCCCTGCGCTCACTAGGTAGCCTTGACCTGAAGAGCAAACATCGATAACTGGAATATGAACGATGGGTTCACACATTAACGGTGAAAACATAGGGATCTGCTGTGAACTTGGAATGGGGAGTCGGACTAACGGTAACGAATCTGGCAGCAGCGGTGGGATCTCGGAGAGATCCAGCTCCAGCTGCTGGGGTGGTAGTGGGTTCAATATTCCATCTGATCCAGAGGGCGGTAGAAGAGAGGAAAGGGGTGGCAATGACGATAACTGGATCGATAGCGGAGGGTGGTACTGTTGAGAAGCAGTAGAAAATGGAGAATGAAGGGTTGAGGTGTTGGGTGGACACCAACAGTAGTAAGGAGAAAACAATACCGGTGGTGAACCACTCCTCGATGGAAGCTGAGGTCTTGGTAAGTTTGCTGATTTCGGGTCTCCTGCAAGAGCAAGAGGGCCGTGTCTCCGATTATCTCCAGCGGTTTCATTTTCCGTCAGCATGGAAGCATCCATGTTGCTAATTGAAGTGACATGAAGGTTGTCAAATGCTGAGAAAAGGCCATCGCTACGCCGTCTCGATTTATCTCTTGAAGAGATTCTTGATGAAGAATTTCTGAGAGTGATTTCTTTAAAGGAACTCGACCTTGGACTGAGGCTTCCTTGGTGGAAAGAACTTGCCTTTGTTGGTTGACTCACCGAGTGGCGGGTCCGATGAGACTTTGAAGCACATGAAGAAGATGTAGAATCATGAGAGACAGAAGATGATGAATCGAAGGAAAGGCTTGAACATCCGTTGATACTAGGTACCACCGAACCCATGAGATATGAACGGAGATGAGAAGCAACGCGTCCAAGGCGTGATTCATCAATTCCTGTCAGTTCTGATATTGATGGCTTCTTTCTGATCAAGTCTTTCATCTATACAGAGAGAATAGGAAATAAGGGAAATACTGTTCAGAGAACTAAACAGAAAAAAGCACTAGCTTGAAGTTCAATATAAATTAATGATGTGCACCATAGTCTTGCAACAAAAAAAATATCTACTCTTTATCGCATACCTTCCTACGCAATTCCGTTCCGAGAAGCTTAGACTTCTCAGAGCACCAATAATAAAAAGCACGGCCATCTGGGGTCCTTATAACAAAGGATCTACCTGAGCTGTCAGCACTTATGTCCTCAATCGACACAGCAGAGCTCTGAGATTTGCTGCTAAAAGTGAACAGTCTTTCCGAATGACCATTATCTCCAACAAATGAGAGCCGTAAGTCAGATGTTGGCAACAACATAAGGCTCAAGTTACCCCTGCTCCAGTTTCAGAAATATGCCAGAAAGTCAGAAAAAGAGAATTCATGATACCAAATGCAAAAGAGCTACTAGAACTTTCATGGGAAAAAAAGGAACAAGATTTTTGAAATGTTGATAAGCAGAAACCAAGAAGATTTTGAGTTTTGTATCGGTTAAAATTCATTTTTCCTTTACTTAATTTGATTGCGAATTTTGATATTTTAGTAGCTGTAAAAAATTTGGCATTTGTGACACAAGGTCATGGAGCATAGTCAATTCACACCCCAAAATACGGATCCCAGGAGTTCACCCTTCACCACGAAGCTTGAAAGAACTTACACCAAATAGATGAAAAAATAACCATCTAAGAACTCTTCCTAACAAACCTTACATAAGCCCAATATAAGAGACAAACAGAAAGCATTGTGCACACACAGCAAAATCTTTTAAATCATAATAACAAACGACAAAAAAAAAGGGAGAAAATCAAGTCAACTACAAACTTAAAGAACCAAAGAGAATTTAATTATCCGAGTATCCTACCAAGATGACACAGAAGTCAGCGAGGTTATGGTAACCAGACAAAAATGTGATCCCTATATGGCTATAAATTAAGAGCAGACTTTGTGACATGGGAGACGAAACTACCTTTACTTCCTCATCTATCAGAGATCATAATAGATTACGCCCACTTTACCTACAATAAAAAGATATATTTATTTGGAAGCATGCACAGTATCACCAAATAACTAAATTATGGCGTTCTATAAATTCTATAGGCCCACAAAGTACAACCCTGGCATGATAGCTAGGAACAAATCAATAATAACATAGTTGACGATTTGAAAAGAGAGAGAGAGAAAGGATGAAGTCAGCTAAATTTATTCAGGTTCATCGTCACCGAGACAAACCAGAACACCAAATTTAAACAGTACGCCGATGTTAAAACTGCAAAAATCAGTAATACAGGGCTGGCACAATGAAAAAGGCATTGACCTTAAAGAGGTGCAAAGAGCATGACATGAACAATGAAACTGGAGATGTAAACATGCAGCACGGGAAACACAAACTTACAGGACTATGAACATGTTTGACGTACTTCGAAACATCAGATGATTTCAAAATCATGACCGATTTAAACCATCTGCCTGCACGTGAAATCATTGCTTTATACATAATCAATAAGCTCTACACAAGAACCACAAGGGGAACACAACACACAAACAACTAGCATATAAGAGGGCATCAGTTAAGATAGAATTTTTTTAGTTCCACAAATGCGAAACTTAATCCAAACACCTTAGCAAAATCTACAACAAGGCAATAGATTATACAAATGACTAAGTCAGTACCACATAAAAAAGGGAAGTAGACTTAAGAACAACCATAGCTGAGGAAACAAGCGAAAGAGGCATAATATGAATTTGGAGCATAGAGGAGAAACATAGAACCTAGATGTTACAAAATCGTAGACACATCAGTCTTAAACAAGAGACGACCCATAGATCTCAGACCTAATTGACAACGTACCTGGAGAGCAGAACACAACAGGGAGTAAGTCAAGACATTAAAGACAAGTTTCTAAGAGAGCAGAGAATTGATAAGAACAATAACAACCAACAACATGTTCGAAATGCAACAAAAATCGAAGGTCCAACAGCTAACAGAACACCAAAAAACAAGGACTGCATACAAGAAATACCGATCTCTTTTCAATTACCTAGTGGCAGTTGGGCACATACGTGTTCCTTCCTTCTTGATCTTCCCCACACGAACTGAAACCAGAGGAATGCAAAAGCATCTCGCCAGCATTCCAATTTCGGCCGGCTCGAAGTGCTATATAATATACATAAATGATAAATCAGATTATTATACATCACGAAATCAAAATCAAAACGCTAATCGATGCAATTACCAACAAAACGAACCTGGCTAAGATGAGCTAGCAATCGATCTTCAGCCATCCCGTTGGAAACGTTGAGCTTCAACAAAGGCTTCAATCTTTCGTCAGCTCGACAAGCTCCCATGACTTGCATATCCAGAGCCTGCAGCCACCGCAAAACCCTATCCTCGTCAAGGAACAAGTCTCGGTCTCCGTCGTCATCGTTGTCGACAACGTCCGTCGATTCGTTCTCGCTTTCAACCCTAGATGATTCAGCCGAGATGTCCTCCACGAAACTCGACAACTCAGATCGAGCATCGATCGGCGACGCCTCCGAGGTGTTCCCACCGTTAGACTGATCGTTGTGATCGTCCACGAAATCGCGCTTCTTGGGGTCGGCCATGGCGAATCGGTCACTTATCGCTAGTTGACGCTTTCAGAAAACGACAGCAATCCAAACTCTAAAGCAGATATCGAAACAGCAATCCGTCGATTTGGAATCAACAACCCTAATCCAGACGTCGCCGAGAAGGAAAATCAACCAAAGATAATCGGAGGAAAGAGGCGATTCAATCGAGGGGGACAACAAAATATCAGGACGTCTTAGAGAGAGAAAATCGGTGAGTTGTTGAATTGCGGTTTTAGAGAGAGAAAAAATATCTGTGACACCACAATTTTTTTTCCTTTTTTCTGAACGATGCGTCCCGTGATTCCCTTCGTGGTGCGGAAACTGAAAAGGATAAGAAACGGAAACAGCCTCGCTAATATATCCACAGACATGGGCGTAATAATATCGAAGCGGATTTCAAATGGAGCTATTAAATGTGGTTTTGTTGAGGTGATTTGAGATCCAGGGGAAAGATTGATTGCTTACACAGATCCACGCAAGGAGAGTGGGTCCCACGAGACCCACACCATAACCGCCTATTTGCTGTGTGCCACGTCGGCTAAGAGGTATGTCCAATGATTTATTTTTTAGATGGGCCCGGGAGAGGCCAGCCTGTGCTTTGTTTAATTTACAGATACTATTTTAATCTAATAATATATATATCATGACCAAATTAACCAACGATAATTTTCACTAAACCGTTCGTAATTTATCTATTTTTAGTTGGTAAAATTTCAATTTTCCAAAGATTTAGAAGTAACATGCGAATTTTAATTCTACTTAAAACCACAAAGAGAGTCGCGGGAAGGAAAAAACCATTTATTTATTTAATTAATTAATGAAGGAAAGAAAGACACTTCCATGAAAAGCATGGAGCCGTTTGCGTATCCGTGTCTTTCATGTATTATGTATATTGTATCACACACACACATGCCATACCATATCATTTTCACATCTTCGTGATGATTGGACCACCTTAAGGTACATATAAATATATAATTATATAACAATTTATCATTTATTCGGATTCACTTGAATTCGAATTCTAATTTTTGGAGATAATTAAAAAAACAAGAATTCTATCAATCTTTGAAAACTGTAGTCATGTGAACCAAAAAATTCCAATGGGGGGAATATCTCTCTATGTATGGTCTAAAAAAAGCGCAAGCAAATAGTAAGGCACTCCTCTGAAAGATCAAGATCATTTCTTCTTCTTGGGTTCGCCTGCGTACTCATGGATCAATGCCTCGACGTCCTTCCAGAACAATCCCTCGACCAGAACTCCGTCTTTCGTGAACCTGCATCACAAGATTTATGTCCGGATTATGAACATGTTCAGACATTCAATATCAGAATGATGATGAGACAGACAGATTGTTTTTTTTTTTTTTGGCATGATTCTGTCTGTGTAAGAAAATGTGTATATGCATGTGTATGCAACTGCAGAGAGAGAGAGAGAGAGACCACCGGGTGACGCTTTTGGTGAACTGAACTGGGTTCCCGGCGGAAATGGAGTTGGGATCAGAACTCGTGATGGAGAGAGTGTACTGATCGGAGAATCTGGGCAACTTGGAAGAGACCACCAAACCAGTGCTGGTGAATGATCCCTTCACAGAAGCATCATAAAAAAGATCAAACTCACCAAGTTAGACATCAAGGATGTTGAGCTTATACGAGAAAACCAAGCACCGTCCAACAAACACATCTAACAATGCCCAGAGGCAAAATCATATTCATTATGTTTGTTGACACAAAGAACTTATACACGAATTTGTTGCAGCGCTCAAAATGGTTACGGAAAAAGCTTTATGTTGCAAAATTCAGACCTAAATAAACCATGAGTAATGGGTATAAATCAAATGTTTGATATAACCCAGCCTCTTATGTATAAACTTTTTCAAAATGGTAAAAGAGAGGGATAAACACCCGTTTAAAGTTCAAGGATCATGTACTAAAAGCATAAAATGTAACTCAAGGAACTTGAACAAATCACAAATGCCAAAAGGGAATAAAGTTTTGCAAAAACCAAAGTTTCAAGACTTTTCCTAATCGAACTTCACTAAAATGACCACCCGAAACTCTCAAATACAGAGTAAAAAGTACTAAAATATGCCGATATGTACCATACATCGCACACAAAGCCAACAGGAGGGCACAACTCAAAACTCTTTATAAAGCGGAAAGTGTAAAAAATAGACAATGCAAAACCAGGATCTAGCTCTGGTTAACCTAATGTTACTCTCCCAGCTCATGTTTCTAACATTTGTTTTGTAGCTTTTGTACTCTTGACAAGCATATGCATCTGGAATTAAATGGAACAGAGAGGCGTGATGAAGACGCATGGTTTGGCCTAAAAAACATTACATACAAGGCCGGAGAAAATCTTAAATGGCAGCGACTAGTTACGCACATTGATGAGTCACACATTTGACACTGAAAACACAGATTCAATCTTCAGTTCATAGACCAAGAACTGATAAACAAAAAATCACAATACCTATGCAATGCATCTAAAAAAAGCAGACCACCTATCCAAGAATATCGCAAAATCTCAATGATACATCATTTCTGGACCAAGAGAAGGAACAAACCTCAAGAGGGTATGTGAACAATATTGCATTCTTCTCCTTTGTGTACAGAATCAACTGCAGCACAGCATTCAGCGCCACATACTTGCCATAGTCAAGAAACACACACAGATTCGATACAGGAAATTCGAAAACTTTCATAGTCAAAGAATACAATTCAAAATTCCCATGAAGTAGCTTGCCCAACAGTACAATGGAGACATTCAAGTTTCTCAAACTAATCTCAGATTCTCAATCAATGCTCGAGAAAGCCAGATCTCACGTTTCAGCTTCTCGACAATATCCACGAAAGCAGTTGATCGGACCGTGATCTCATTTCCTAAAACTGCAAAATTCCATATCCATTATCCCCGATTTCATTTTAGCCCTAGCACCCGTAATTCTTAGGGTTTCAGCAATTCCATCCTCGTTTTCCGTAACCAAATCGAAAACCCAACACAAAGAACCAGTGGAAATCAAAGGAACAAGAGAAGAAAGGATATAATATGATGCAACCGATCAAAAAGTCCCTATTCTCCGGGAACTTCTTCTTGTAAAACTGAGCAACAAGCGCAACCACGATGATTATCGTCCCTAAAAGCAGCTTGACATTGCTCAACCTAACATCCTCCTTGTACCCACGGCTCGTGACGATCTACAAAGCAAAAAGAAAAATAAGAAAAGGGATCACAGATCAGCGGAATCTGGATAAGGAGAAGAAGGAGAGAGGAATTGACGCAATTGTTTTCGCCCTACATCGGAGACGGATTCGTCGAGGATGTGCTTGATGGAGTGGTGGTCCAACAGGTTGGTCTTCTTAGGGTTCTTGTTAGCCGATTCTGCCTTCTTCTCTTCCATGGCCGATCAAGACAAGATCAGATCTCTACTGTTCCGCAAGACGAAGCGTAGATTTTCACAAGCGGAAAAAGACTACGGAGGGGTCTTTTGGTTCGGAGGAGACGAGCGAGATGTTACCGTGTAGAAACGTTACGGTCAGGAACGATGTCGTTTTGAGGAACAAGATCTTTTTTTTATATATATATTTATTTATTTGGTGCTGAAGATATTATTATATGTTTTCTTAATCGTGTATTTAGTATTTTTTTTTTCCATGTGTACAATGATTTATTTTTACGTTTGACAAAAAAGTAAAGAGAAAACTCCAATACCACCCTCCTTGATTTGTCATAACAATCACCAATTTTATTACATTTCCAAATATAACCATGAATTTTAAAGTTTCTATATATATGACCATTGACGGATTCTGCATATAAATGTGGTATCGTACTCCTATTTAATTCGACATGTATTTTTCTAAGATGTTGGAAGATGAAAATGTATTTAAATTCAGTTTGATAAGTATATAAAGTTGCGTATTTATTCGATTTTAAATTGGTAGATTTATAATTTTATCCATATTTCTATTTAAATTTTTTCTTTTTATGATGTTTTTTATATGGCATGAAATTATAATTTTTATATTATTTATCATTTTTAAATCAAAATCCAAAATTTTTAATTTTATTTGTATATGAATATTTATTTTGGATTCTAAACCATTTCATTTAGTTACACAAAGTCCAGCCATTTAGTGGGCTTTAGGGCCATCAATTAGGCCCGAAATTAAATTCTCAATTTCAAATTCAATTACGTGTTTTTTTGTCAATAATTTTTGTTTACCCCTATTTGCAAAAGCAGGCGTCTATGGGTTCGACTGGTTGTACCGCATCAGTTGCGGTTGCGGGTGATAGCGTTTTCAGAATGTTTGATAGCGATTATGAATGATTAGTACTGACTGGTTGAGAAGTTGCTGTTGGTAGCGATTGCGGGTGAGTGCAGTTAGAAGTGAATAGTTCATTACGGTTGCGGTTGCGTTTTGATATAAATTATTAAAAAAAATATTATTTAAAAATAATTTTTTATAATAGTTTTAATTAAATTTTTCGTATCATTTGATAAAAATTATTTACTAAATTTATAATAATTAAATAATAAATTTAAAATATAAATATTATCAATTTAATTTATTTTTAAGTAAAAAAATAATTTTATTATAAAAATTATTAAAAATAATCATTATTAAACTTAAAAATTATACTATTGTATTTTTTTATTAAATATAATACTAAAAAATAATATTAAATCATAACAAAATATTTTAGTTTTTTTGTCAAAACGCCGGAAACCGCTACCAAAACGCAAGTTGGAAGCTGCGATTAGAAAACACAAGTTTGGTTGCAGTTGCGGTTGGTTGCGGTTCAACCAGTCAGTTTTTCAATCGCCCGCAACCGCCGAAAATCGCAACCGCTCTGTTTGCGGGTGGCGGCGGTGCAACCAGTCGCCCCCTATATGTTCAAAATCATGACTTGGGGTAGCTAACATTAGTGTCGAATAAATCTATTAAAATTCTTGAACATATACCCATGTGTTTATTCAATATAAGCCATTTGGTATGTTTTAATTCCTAGGGGTATTCATTTTGATTCTCATTTGTCCCTACCATGCCGCTCTGTTTGCGGGTGGCGGCGGTGCAACCAGTCGCCCCCTATATGTTCAAAATCATGACTTGGGGTAGCTAACATTAGTGTCGAATAAATCTATTAAAATTCTTGAACATATACCCATGTGTTTATTCAATATAAGCCATTTGGTATGTTTTAATTCCTAGGGGTATTCATTTTGATTCTCATTTGTCCCTACCATGTTTTAATCTATGGTCGGTCCATCATAGACGACCAATATAATTCCAAAACTTTGTGATGTAACAAGACTTAGTCAAATTTAATATTCGTTATCCAAGAAACTTGATATAAGAATATCATTAAGTTAAATTTCATGTAATGGAAAATTATGGTCTGTCTAGATGAACCAAGTTGACGGCTTTTAAAATTTAAAGTAAAAAGTGGAAAATATCTAAGAGAGAGGGGCCAATTCTCACCCAATAAAAAAGGAACATAAAATGGCAAAATAAGTTTACCAAGTCAATCGACGATCCTAAAACACTGATGTAGTGTCGGAAAAGCACGTTAACGTTTACGATCGTTACACGTGTCCGTTCCCGTACGCCTCACCTCACCATAAAACACCTTCCATCTCTTTGATCTCTCATATTCCACTCAGAGGACGAGCAAGAAGAAGGTAGAGAGAAAGATCCGCATGGAGGTGAAGACCGAATCGACGACTCGTTTCTGACGCGGAAGAACCAGACCGAGTCTGTTCTTGTTCTCTATTTATTTGATTTCGTTCTTCTTCTTCTTCTCTGTTAATTTGGATCAGACTTAGATGGGAGGAGGAGATGTGTGTAAGGCGATGGGAGGCTGCTCATTAGCGTACCGCCGCGGAGAGAAGAGATTGTGGAATCTCCCGTCGGCGAGGAACACTAAGTTTCTTCTATGGTGCTGCATCGCTCTCGCTCTCATCACGCTCGCTTGCCGATCCTCGCTTTCTTCCTTTGCCGGCATCACCAATCGCTCCGCCGTCGACGCCGCAGATCGCCTGGCTAGATCACGGTCCGTGCAATTTCTTCGTTCTATTGCGGGAAGATTTTGGGTTTTTTTTTTTTGTATAATTAGCAAGGATCCGTGTAGTATTTGAAGTCGATCCGTATATGTTAAGTTTGCTGGTTTCTACTATTGGTGAACGAAATTATATTAGAAAGCAAATTATTGAGTGTTGCTTTTGGCAAGTATTAAATCCACTGAGACTTGTTTGAATCGAATCTACCACTTTTAGCTTATTTAGTTCTTTACCTTCTCGGATGGTTTGAGATTAGGGGAAATTTTCTCATTCATCTTCATCGGCTTGAACGATTATATGAACCGATATTCCCAGTCTACGTTATGACTTTACTTTTGAGTTGGGAAATTATTGGTTGCTGATTAAGGAATTTGAGTAAATAGATAGTTTCCAAGTTTTTATGATTATGTTTCTTGTTTGGATGTTTTATTCAATGGGCGTTTGAATACTATGTTTTCTGCTGTTTCGCAATCCGTAGAACAATGAGAAGGGAAAGTGTTTTTGGGTTACTTGTATTGAGGGAATATATTGATTTAGATCTGTAATCTGTAGTCAGTCCCTTGAGTGTTCATTATATCTTTTGACCTTTAAATTAACAGATCCCATAATATAATTTGCAGGAAAGGTTACACACTTCTGATGAACACATGGAAGAGATATGATCTCCTGAAGAAGTCTGTGTCCCACTATGCATCATGTTCCAGGCTCGACTCTATCCACATTGTGTGGAGTGAACCTAACCCTCCATCTGATTCTCTTAAGGAGTACCTTGAACATGTCATAAAGATGAAATCCCGAGATGGGAAGGAAGTTGAGTTGAGATTTGATGTTAACAAAGAAGACAGTTTGAACAACAGATTTAAAGAAATTAAGGACTTGAAGACCGATGTCGTCTTCTCGATAGATGATGACGTCATATTTCCTTGCTCCATGGTAGATTTTGCATTTAACGTCTGGGAGAGTGCTCCAGATTCGATGGTGGGGTTTGTGCCACGTGTCCACTGGCCTGAAAACTCGGTATGTTAGTGTCTTAATTTCTCCGATGAATCTTTCTTTTTTGAGCATCTCTGTCAAAAAACAGTCCTGCAATGAGGTAGCTGAACAATTAGTGATTTTGCTAATAGGACTTGATTGTTTGATCAAATATCTAATGCTGTCTACCTGACCTCAAGGAGGTAGCTGCTCTGCTTCTCTGCCCATCCATGTATTACGATGGGTGGAGACCGTGGAGTGGTGATTTTTTTCCCCATCAAACTGTCATATACTTGTCTTTCGAAATTGGGTACTCCACTATTCGTTAATGATCGAGAAAATTCATGACACGGGGGATGATGAATGTTGAATTCATTATGTACAGATGATAATCCATTGTTTTCAACCCTTTTCTGCAGAGCAATAAAGGGGAATACTACACGTACAGCGGCTGGTGGTCTGTCTGGTGGACAGGTACATATAGCATGGTACTTTCAAAGGCAGCCTTCTTCCACAAGAAGTATCTGAATCTTTACACGAATGAAATGCCGGCATCGATAAAGGAATTCATAACCAAGAACAGGTTTGTTATCGCCTCTACATTCTTTGGGATTCAGAGTTCAATTGTGAAAACCACCCACCATCTAAAACCATTGAAGTTGTGAAACGTTCAGGAACTGTGAAGATATTGCAATGTCATTCCTAGTGGCAAACGCTACAAATGCTCCTCCCATATGGGTCAAAGGTAAAATCTCTAACCGTGGGATCACATACTGAAACTGTCTCCCAAGTTTCATCTCGAACTTCCATCCATATCTATATGGCGCCGTATTCATGTGGAATGCAATTTTTTTTCAGGGAAGATAAATGAGATAGGGTCGACGGGAATAAGTAGCATAGGAGGGCATACGGAGAAGAGAGCGAGATGCGTGAACAGGTTTGTGGCGGAGTATGGGAGAATGCCATTAGTGTACTCTTCCGTGAAGGCAGTGGATAGCCGCACTCTATGGTTCTGGTGACACCTCACTGCTTTGTCTCCCCCTTTTCTGATGCATAGTCATTCCCCCTCTCTCTCTTCTCCTCAGTCCTATTTCTTATAATGGGATCTCTGCAAATCAAAGCCGTTTGTTATTCCTCCGGTTTATTTGGGAAGAAACCGCGATCTTCTTCCACACGCAGAGAGAGAGAGAGAGATATTGGATCGGGAAGTTGAATACTGCAGTGCAGGAGATTGGATTCTCATGAAGAACGGGGAGATACAAGCGTAGTCTCTTTTTTTCCGCAGAATGGTACTTATTTGTAGGTCTTACTTTACATTGTAACATTGTTGTAACGAATTCGGATTCTCTAATCTCCTGGTAGAGGCTTGCCCCTTTTGTATACTAATTTACATATTTTGCTGTGTTATTGATTGGCCATAACTAGAATTCTGTATTTTGTCACTGGAAACTAATTAGCAGATTGCCAGATTCCAGGCTAAGGTTAAGAGTTGGATCTCCACATACGCAGGTAACTAATCTCTTATGTTTCCAACTTCCTGCCATTTTCAAAATAAAAACATTCTTTTTTTATAGGGTAATCAAGTGAACTATATTTATACACAGGGCTAAATCCGCAAAAAATTAAATTTTAGTATCTGTAAGTAATTCGGCGAGAACGATTACTCCTGAATAACTAATAATAGTAAAAATAATTCTTATCATCTGAATTTCGTCTTTAACCCCAACGGCTCCAGAACTCTCCCAGAAACGTCTTGGCGGCGTCCAGGCTCGGGAAGTATGTGGGCTCCATGAACGCCCGACTCAGCGAGTCGTTCGACTCGTTACTCGCCGCCGCTCTCCCCATCACCGCCGCCACGAGCTGCCGGTAGGCGAAGAAGAACCGCTTCGCCGCCGCCTCCACCGCCTGCATCCCCTGAAGCAGATGAATCTTCTCCGATTCTCTCTTCCTCGCGTAGAGCCTCATCGCCGCATCCTGCATCCTCGGCCCTCCGCTGGGGTCCACCTCGACGGCGAGCACGGCCGGGACTTTCTCCCGGAGCTCCTTCGACATCTTCGCCATATCCACCAGCCCTCTCGATCTGAAGCAGAACGCGTCGTTTTTGGAGGTCGATTTGATCTGTAATTGGTTCTTCAGCTTCAGGAAATCATCCGGATCCATCAGGAGGAGGAGATCTTCGATTTCCGTCAGAATCTTCCAGATCCGCTCGAGCAAGTACACATCGCTCGACGCTTCTTCGAATTTCGCATCTCCGATCCTGGACTCGATTCGTCTAAGGAGACTTCCAGAGGTATGAATCCACGATTCGAGGATCTGATGAACTGAGTACAAGACCTGATTCTCGGGGTTATCGATGTGATCGGAGTAGTGATTGTTCTTGAGGCCGTGAATTTCACTCGGCCGGCAAACGGCGTCGTACCGGAGATACTTTTTCCCGGCGATATTCCGTTCACCCAACCCTAGTGCGTACCTGCTCCGCCGCATCTCGTTCTCGATCGTGCTCAGGATCTTCATTCCAACGTCCTCTGTCTTCCACCACGTGGCGAGCTGAGGAAGCAAGCTGAGCTCGCTACGGTGATCTCCTACCGGAGCAAATCCACCGTCGTCCTCCTCCGCCGTCGCAGCGTCGTCGTCCTCGCAGATCGCCGCCACCAACTGGACCTGACTCATGACCAGCGATTCAAGCCTCCGCCTCCACTCGCGGCGATTGATGTACGGCCTCTCATCGGAGAAGACGGCTAATATCAGCCGGAAAGTGATCTCGAGCGCCTGAAGAGCGGGCTTCAGGATCGGCTCGGAATTCCACTGAGGGAAATCTCTGGAGGACCAGAGACTCCTGAGCTCTGGGAGGCGCAGGTAGAGCTCGTAGGCGGAGCAAGCGGCGGAGCTCGAGCAGGACACCGGCGACGTTAAAGGGACCTTGAACGGCGCCGGAATCGTGACGTGGAGCTTTGCAGAGAGCTTCGGGGACTTGTTGGTGGGTATGTTTGATGAAACCATCTTCGTCTTCCAATCTAAATCCACCATTCTTTTCAAAAAAAAAAAAATTGTTTCTGAGAACTTTTATTCTTCCTTTTTGTTTTTTTGGGTTGAATGGAAAATGTGGATTGAAGAAGATGAGAAGAGGAGAGGTATATATAGTACGGGGAGTAAAATATGGGAGGGGGAAATGCGTGGAAAAGGCGGTGACAATCTTACAAAGTAAGCGTTTTCTTTTTCTCTCTTTTATTTATTTTATAAATAAAAAACTAGAATCTTGTAAAAAACTTGAAAAGATAATCCAGAAATCAAAATCCAAGGGAGATAAATAAGCGATTAGTGGCACAAAATATTGTTATTTTGTAATTATTTATTTTCCCTTGGCATGACAGTCAATAGTTAACGGCAGTATATGCAACTTGCAATAAAAAAATTCGCCTAGTTACAGTGAATAAAGTAAAATATAATGAAAAATGTTTATCAACTACTCCTCGTTTTACTATATCGACCGCCGCTTTACAAAGACTCAGTCGCTTTTTTATCTTATTTTTATTGGGAAGTGGAAGAACAGAATAAAATAAAATAAAAAACTAGAAATTCTGATTAATTTAGGGTTACAGATTTTTTAAAATATGAAAGAAAAAGAACTCAGAAGACGGTGGTTCAAAATAAATAATAAAAAAGGCTGGAGCTTATCCAAAAGATAAGAAGCCTAACCGACCAAACCAAACGAGTAAGGTTGGGGGTTTGGTCTGAACCGAAACATTCGGGGCAAAGTCATGTTTCGATACATGTGGCGCGAGTGGACCCTGTCCGAATTCCAATATTTGGACTCTGGTCTTCTTTTTTCCTCTTAAATAATCAAAATCGTTATCTTATTGTATTTATTTATATATCCGAATCCGACGTCAATTAACAATAAATATTGCTATACATGCCTTATGAGGAAACCAATCAAATCTAAAAATATATTTTCTCACAGTATAAAACAATCCATAATCATTTTTTTTCTAGAGTCTCTCGATAACTATATAGATAGGTACGAGACCGTGGTGAGATTATTTGGATCTTTAATTATATTTTGATTTCACTATTTTTAATTTGGGTTTTTAGTTTTACAGACATGAAATCTATTTGATTTTTTTTTTTAATTTTGTTTGAATTTGATTTAGATTCAAATACTCGTCTTTTAAAAGAATTTTCAGCTTCTCACACTTTTCCTACTATTTTTCTATTTTATTCTACTAATTTGTTTTTCAAATATACTTACTGATTTTATAATCAAATTTCGCAGTGTTGTGATTACGTGTTATCCCATTTGATTGAGTTTAACTTCACATGTTTTAATGGACATAATTATCCTATACAGTTTAGAATATGTTATTATTAACAATTTTAACTTTTGCCCATTTTTGTGGCTAAAACTAAAATATTTTATTTTTAAAAACAATTTCATACGGGAGTTTCGCCTTTTGTGTTTAAAAGTAAAATACTAAGATGTAATCAACACGGCTGGTACTCGTTAATATTAATGAAAGTCTTTTCAAATTAATATCATATCATATTAAAAATGTCTCGCAGGCTGTTTCTTCCTAGGTTGCTTCCTTGGCTTTGAATTCAACCAGTCAGACTGAATAAAAAAAAATTTAAAAAAAAATGAAAAATGGAAAATATCGCGTAAGCTCATTTATTATCCACAAAAATTCCAGTGATAAATAAATAAACTTGGAATTTATTCCATTGGATATCATTTTGGAACTACCGGCCCATATATAATAATAATATACTATCGAATTTATAGTTAGTTGAACAATTTCATAATAGAATTCTTGTCCAAACAAGTGTCACATCACACGCATATATATATACACACACACACACACTACCTAATTATATGCTTAATATAAAATGATAACAATATCCAAACGTGTATGGTAAATTAACGAAAATAATCATAAAATCTAAAACGGGTAAAATACAATTTAGTGAAGAAAATTCTGATCCTAACGACATTTAAAATTATAATTCCAAAGTTTTAGACTTCTTGTTAACCGTGGGATTTCGATTGCTCACTTGACAAGTATATGTGATTTAAATATGGTCCTACGGATTTTATTTAATAATGAAGACGATATGCAACAATATTATATGATAAGCGAAAAGACATTTGCCCAACCAATACAGAATCTTTTTAACTATATTGATTTTTTTTGTAATAAAAAAATACATATTTTGTTATGATCTCAGTGTATATATAGGTTTGTGTAGAAAGTTACATTCAAACTCATCAATTTACGTAAAGGCTTTTGTTCGATACAGCACATAATTCAACAATGAAAAAGAATAAAATCCTGGATTTATTTACGAAGAAATATCAGTAAGCATTATGTATGTAAAATATTTTTTGTTTTTTTCTCCACAATTTTATTTTTATAACATTTTATACATATATGTTGGCATCTAAAGAAGGTGGAGTCGGACTGAAAAAGTCAAACGTAATGCTCCAAGTAAGTAGGTGGTCTAATATCCGACAGGTGCCACGTGGACAAACTTAAAACAGTTGACGGTTTGAAAAGGCTTGGACACGTAGCAGCAGTACAGCTGGACCATTGATTGGCTTTCACGCGTAGTTACGCCGTTGATTCATCCTTATGTTCCGCGTGGATTGGAGGTGGACCCCTCCTATATATACATACATATATTCTAAAAACGATTATATATTAAATGTTTGGATCGACTGCATTTTAATAAAAATTGGACAACACGTGAAAATGATGATAATTGCTCTGATATAAAATATTTGATCCATCATTTTACATGCCATCTTATTAATAATATTATTCACTAAAAACGAACTCATAATTTACGAACTCAAATCTTTAATCTAATCATGTAAATCTCTAAACTGTTTTATATATGATTTTGCACAGTTAACGGAATAATATGTCAAAAAAATATTTTTAAAAAATCTAGAAAAGTACTTGTATTTATAATTAATTAATAATTTCTACTCAAAATATAATATGGTTAGTATGGAAAATCTAAAAGAATCAAGTAACTACTTTTTATCCAGAAGTATAAAATTGAATTGAATCAATTTATTAGAATCGAAAATAATTATTTAAACCAATTTATAAGATAGATATTAATAAAATCAAGTTAAGATTTTAAACTTCAAATACCAACGCATCTATCTACATCTATCCAAACAGGTTTCCTCACGACGAGGCATGTTCCCGCCCGCATTATCTGACCCTAATAACTTTTCTTCAAAAAACATATTTTAAATATTAAATCATAGGGAAAATGACATTTTCCTACACCAACTTTGCAAAATGTGACCTTTTCCTACACGAATTTTTAATTTGACAAAAAACTACACCAAATTATCAAATGTGCCAAATTGATACACGAACTACCCAATTTAACTGCAATTTCCTACACAATCCGAAAACGGTGTTAAGTGTCCGTTAACCGCTGACGTGGCGGCTGACGTGGCACGCCACATAGATTTTTTTGCCACATCAGCATGCCACGTCATATTTTTAAAAAAAATTCCAAAAAATATAAAAAAAAAATCGATTTTTTTTAAATTTAAAATAAAATAAATAAATAGCAATATATATATATATATATTCATATATATTCATATCTATATACAAATAAAAATATAAATATATATACTCCTATATAAAAATATATAACTATATATATACAAAATAAAAAACATACACATATATATACAAATATCTATACAAATATATATACATATACATACAAACAAATATAAACATAAATACATCTATGTATGCCTATATGTGTATATATAATAAATATGTATTCATATACATGTATATGTATTTATATATGTATGTGTATATATATAAATATACTTGTATATATGTATATGCATATATATTTGTATAAATGCATGTATATATGTGTATATTTTTATTTGATATATATAGAAATATATATACATAGAAGTATTTATGTTTATATTTGTATTTGTATGTGGATATGAATAT